ATGGACTTCTGGATCAAGCCCTTAGAGAAAGCTATGGCATATGATGCACACAGGGGAAAAGGATTAGAACTGCAGGTTTTAAAAGGAGAGCAATCGTCTTAATAATAGCATCTAGTCTCTACTTCACATGGGCGGTTTAGGGGATTAGTTAATGTTTTCAGCACAGCACTTTGAACTGGTCAAGTGTATTTAAACAGCAGGGAACAAGTAGTCAGGTAACTTCAGTCCAAGGTTCTTGGTTCTGAAATATAAGTCTACTCCTGTGTTATGCAAAATCCATCTATTTATTTTGGCTTTTACCTTGGACAGGTTGAGTGGTTGAGAATGGATCGAGAGGGAGGGGTGAAAACTGAAGAACAGAGGAGCTGTGTAGAAAGTATGGGGAAAGGTTGATGTTAATGGTTATATGATATTTTAGCATGTGATGTTCATTATGTACTCAGACCAATGGACAGATGCACTGAGGCATCAAATAAATTAAAATAGTACTAATTGCTGCTATTGTTATCATCATGTTAGGCTCCAAAATCCATATTGAATTCTCTAAATAAGAGGCTTGATTTTTCAGAGGTGTGTCCTCTCAACTCCCACTTCAGTCTGAGAGGTGCAACTTTGATTAGGAGGGATACAAGAGAGAAATAAGCATTTCAAATATGGTTATTATTTTAAAGGCTTGCAACTGAAAAAATGGTTTTAAGGAAGCTGCTTCAAACTATGCAGACACATTCTCTTTTGAATAAATCTGAATTTGGAAAGGCCAACATTAATGGGGTGGCCCTAAAATAAGGCTTTATAAAGGACGGTGGAGGGTATAACCTTTATTATGGAAAAGCTGCCAACTCTTCAAAATCAGCAATGGAATGTTATTGTATGTACTCAGTGACTGTTAAATGACGCAGGCCTTCCATTGCCGATAAAGATATAACTTCACACTCGGTGTGGCTTGTAAATATTACTGTAATATTACTGTAATACAACAATAAGAAGAACAAATAATGAAAATGGCTGTATGTCTGCACACTGCCCCTATCCCAAGGCCGGGCCAAAAGGCACAATAAAGCCTAAAATCTGCAGTGGGATCCTGAAAGAAATCAGCAGTGAAAATCCTAAAAGGTGAAAGGATAAGAGATGAAGATGATTGTTCAAACTAGCAAGTACAAGGTACAGGACAGTAACAAGAAAAGTCATTTGTAACTTGCTTGTATCCATGTGGTATCCTTACACTTGCCAAGGCTAGCAGCATCCTGATGCATTGACTGAGAGGGTACCATTGTCACGGGCACACGTATATTGTTCCAACCCCGTCTTCTCTTTGCAGTCTGGAAAGGCGCGCTGGAGAAAACCCACTCTTTGCATACAAGAGGACTCATTGAATTAGCAGGAGCCATATCCTGTGGCACAGGACGCAATGCTTTGGCATATCTAGGTTACGGCTGCTACTGTGGTCTGGGAGGACGAGGCTGGCCTAAGGATGATGTAGACTGGTAAGAAGAACATCATTCATGTGCCTCCCTGTATAGGTCTGGGCTTGCCGCTAAATTCTTCCCTGAGGGTATGTCTGCACTACCACCCTAGTTCAAACTAGGAATAGGAACGTGGAATGAGGTGTACTGGTAGTTCAGAATAGGAAGCCTAATCCAAACTACCTAGTTCGTGCCGCGTGTAGCCGCGGGCACGGAGTCTGAACTAGCGGACATTTTAAAATGGCGGCACCTGGCAATATGCAAATGAAGGCCGGGAAATTCAAATCCCGGGCTTCATTTGCAACTCCAGTTGCCTACATTAACCACCCTAGTTCAAACTAGGGTGGTAGTGTAGACATACCCTAAGTTACATTCATGTAACCTTTTGCCCCCTTTGCCAAGGGCAAACCAAGAAAAAACTAGGCCTGGTTTGGGACCAAGAACTTAATTTATAATGTGGTAACACAGACACCATTGTAACTGTGTGCCACACAGACACTGAGAACTGAAACCGAGGGCAGTGGTATTGCCCAGCACAATCACAAGGACTTTTAATCTCCCATGAATGGTGGTGACAGGGACGCCACTCGGGGGCAAGGTTGTCGCCATCCAAAACTGCTGCAACTTTACTGACTGGGGATAAACAATACAGTGGATGGCGCTGACTGAAGAGGCATCTCATCCTAGGCGAGTGGATGCTTGGCAATGCAGGCAGCAGGAAGCAGGCCCAGCCCTAGGGCCAGTCGAGCAAGGCAAATGCCTTGGGCCCCTCGCTGCTGAGTATTCACCATCCACCGGTAGGGCTGTCAGGTGTCCAGTTTTGAACCGGACAGTCCAGTATTTGAGCTTTCTGTTCGGGAAACAAATTGAGAAAATATAAATGAGAAAATAGAAATGTCCGGTATTTTCTAAATAAGATGTAATGTAGATTGTGATGTAATGTCAAGCGTGTCCAGTATTTTTGTTGAAACCATCTGGCAACCCTACCGGCCAGGCCCGGAGGCCCACTCCCAGCATCCTGCCTTGGGCCCTGCAAACCCTTTGGCCAGACCTGACAGGAAGGGAAGTAGCGGAAATGCTGCTTTTCCTCTCTTAGGGGAAAATCTCATATTGGTGCAGGAGTGACTCCAGCACCTTGCCTTCACCCCATCTCAGAAATGATGCTGATGGAAAAATATTATTGCAACAGGGTAATATTCTTTCCCTTCTTTGGCTTCAGGATTTGTGGGGAAGATACCAAGTTATTTAGTTTCAAAGCAGGAGGCAATGATCCAATACTTTTAGTTCTCTTAGAAACAGTGACAGGCACATATTTAATTATTTTGTCTGATAGGCTTTTATCCACCCGAGTGACTATGAGCTCTGGTCCTTTTTCTGTAGAAAACTTTTGCCCACAGTGCAGTCCGTATCTGCACCTTCAGGTTAGCCACGCAGTTCCACCTGCTTATCTAAGATCAATAAGGGTGGCCCTTACACTTACCTTTTACTTTCTTCAGGAAAAGAGGCAGGTTATAACAGCCCATTGAATGACTCACTGTGCTTTACCAAAGTACCCAGTTGTGGCATGCACTTACAACTTTTCTACAAAGCCGGGCCACATGGAAATCAATGGACATATTGACATTGACTTCAGAAATTCACCCTAAGTGGCTCAAGTCAAGCACACAACAGGTAGAAGCACCCCAAAACTGTGGTCACTTTTGAAAATGTAAGCTTAGCTCTTTAACTACAGATATTAATGTCCCTTGATTTCTTTGCTTGGTTATGGAAAATTATTTTTAGACATTCTGGATCAGATGCTCAGCTGGTATAAACCAGGACAGCTCCACAGGGTCTGGCCCTAACCATTTTCTTTGTCATAATTGTTGAAGGAATCTTTTGGGTTCCTCTCCCTTAGGACACTGTTACAAAAATCAGTACATGTCAATGCTATACTAGTGACGCTAAGCATGGTATTTCCCACTGTGAGCATAACGAACACCATCAGTACAGTGGTAAAGCCAACTTGCGTAAGCATAAATGTTTAAAATGTCTCATCATTTTAACAGTTCAGGTTTTGCTACCCACACCATTATAAAAGGTGTAATTTCCTTTTCCTTAAGCTAGTCATCTGTGTCTAGTAAGCTAAATATGAAAGCAGGCCTAAATATAGAGACATGTTTTAATCTACAAAAAGGCATCTTTCCAGAGTGCTCATTTAAAATGTTGGTTTCAAACACTGGCTTTGATGCGGTATTTTAGTCATTACATTTCTCCCCTCCTTCCATCCTCTCTGTTTTTAACAGTTAAATGAACAAGTAGCACTCATCGCATGTTCAGAAAGGTGAAAAGACTTCCCTTATCCCCCTCTGCTGGATACTTTTTGAATTTCCCAGCACATCAGATAATTGTTCTTCAAGCTCAATGAGCACACAAAGGACTCTGAGTGAGATGCTGATTGAAATCAATGGAAGTTTTGAGCCTAAACCCCTTTGAGGATCTGATTAGCAAAGTGCCCACCTCACCCACAGCTGGCAGCAAGTGTTTGTGGTGGTGCAGACTCACACATTCCTCAGTACACATAACAAAATTTATTCTGTGCATGGAAGGAAAAAATTGGAGGGAACATTGCCAGTGGTATTCCCTCTCTGCATTGTTCTTATTAATCTCTGGCTGTCCTTTGCAGGGAGTTCACCAATCAGAGCTCAATCCATAAATGCAGGTTTTCCAGCATCTACTCTATGAGTAAACATTTTTACAATGAGTTGGCGTTTGTATTCATCTTCCATTCTTCTTGTCCAGTGCAATCTCACTGGCTGACACTGATTGCATTTGGTATCATTAGGCAATAACAGGTGAAAAGAAAGGACATTTCTTCACAGTAAGTAACCAGCTGAAGTTAAGGAGAAGTTTATCTGCTTCTTTCCCAGGTACTACTTCGGGGGCATCTTGAAGTGATTTAGCAAACTCTGGGCCTGAATCGCCTCTCATTTTATAGTGGCATAGCCTCGGGGTATGTCTAGACTGCATGGCTCAGTTGACAGAGCCATGTAGATAAGTTTACTAGACATAGGAAAATGAAGCAGCAATTTAAATAATCACCGCTTCATTTACATAAAAATGGCCGCCGCACTTTGCCAATCAGCTGTTTGGCAGCACAGCGGGGCAGTCTGGACGCGCTGCGGTCGACAAGGGAAGCCTTTGTTGACTGTTCTGGTAAACCTCATTTCACGAGGCATAACGGAGCGGTCGACAAAAGCTTCCCTTGTCAACAGCAGTGTATCCAGACTGCCCCGCTTTGCCGCCAAACAGCTGATCGGCACAGCGCGGTGGCCATTTTGATGTAAATGAAGCGGCGATTATTTAAATCACTGCTTCATTTTCCTTTCCCTTGTAAACTCATCTACATGGCTCCGTCAATGGAGCCATGTAGTCTAGACATACCCTTAGTGAAGTAATGTACTCCTGATTTAGCGGAGTTAAATCTAGCAATGTAAGACTGGTGTCTCCAAGAGTGCAGAATCAGGCCCAAAAGGTTGCAGCCCTCCTGCAGTGATTCCATACTTCGATTTTTACAAAGCCCATTTAGGAGCAGCAGCTCTCCACAGCCAGTCAGTTCTTCTCTTCAGCCCGTTTCTTTGCTCTCTCTTCCTGCTTCTCCAGTTCAGCCCACTCTCCTCTTTCTTGCACTCTGCGCCTGTGTCTCTGTGCTGATGGTCTAGTTCCTTCCTTTTCTCTGGCTCCCCACTACGACTCCTTTTCTCTTGTCCTCCGGTCCTCATCCTTGTCTTCAGGCCTGTATGCAGGAGGAGAGGGGGAGAAGGTTGTGAACCCCCCCCCCACACACACACACAACGCCCTAAGTAAGCATGCTCTGGCCATCCGGGGGAAGGCTGGGGCTGATTTCCCCAATTACTTGAGGGGCCATGGGGGTGCATTCACACCCTTGCAGTCCACATTTACAGAGAAAAGCACACACAGACCCACACAGAAATTTTTGCATACGGGCCTGATCTTTCTCCCTTTGCCTACCTCACTCCTGTCACCAGGCCTGCCAACGGGGGTGGGGAGAGTGGGAAGGGAGCAGTTGCCCAGTTATCCAGTGATTCAAAAGGGCCTTGGGCTCCTGGCCACCACCACTGCCACTACCATAGTAACGGTGGGAGCTGGAACCCGGCCCTTTAAATTGCCTGTCCCAGCCCCAAGGCCTCCCCTCCTGTAGGAGCACAGAGTCCCCCCCCCCACACACACACACGCACCTTGCCCAAGGGCCTGGTAAATCTATCATCCCCCCTACCAGTCACTCAGGTCAAGCCCTCCACCACTGGGCTATCCCTCCTACCCTCACTGCTCCTGAACTCTTTCTCCCTGCTTCACCTCCACCCACATGACCAGCACCTCCCATCCATCTCCCAGCTGCTGCTCATTCTTTCCTCTCTCTGATCATGGCCTGTGAACTTTTAGAAGGAAAACCAGGAACAAAGTGATCCGAAAGTAGGGAGTAACTGACCCAGGACTCATCATCGCCACTGTAAACTCTCTCTGTGTTAGATCATGGGCAGTATGAGTTGTTTTGTTGAGCCATTAGCAAGTGCTGCAATATCCAATGGGAAAATCGACCCCAGTCTGAATGTTCTGTTAGGCTTATCATGTAGCATGGCAGGTCATATTCTAATGTCCTTTAGGAGTTGGGTTGCCACTTTTCAATTATATTACTAGAGTTTGGAATGTAGCAAACAATCTTGTGGTCACCGCTGCTGATTTCATCTGTGCAAGCCCAGAATAAAACCTGGCATTTATCTGGCAGACAGGTATGTGGGATGAAATTGCTGCTTTACTAAATTGGGAGTGCAGAGGAAGGGAAAGCATTCTGGGCTAAATTCAGCCCTTGTATAGTCATGGGAGGTAAACGAAGGCTGACCAAGTGGCCCTGACTCTGCTCTTGCTTTCACATGATTTAGCCTAGTCTAGCTCCATAGAGTTACCTCTGTATGGGATCAGAATCAGACACATTACCTTTGCTTCTGTTCACTTATGAATAT